CGGCATCAAAGAGCAGGCACTGGAAAATAGCTCAAGGAACATATCACCTGTTCCCTTCAGTGCAAGAACATTTTCAATATGCACCAAGTAAAAGAAGGCACTATAATAGGAGACTGGACAAAACATGACTTCAGATTAGAAACTGTCAGCAATTATTATCTTAGAACAAAGATCAAGCTGCTGTCGGGGCACTGTTAAAACAAAAGAGCATTTGTGAGACTAATGCAGTGGCTAGAAATGTGGAATATTACTTCAGTTCTTAATAGTGTAAACGTCAAGTTGCGGGGTCTGCATGGAGATCTAACAGTAAATTAAATTACCTATTACATGGGTGAACCTGTATTTCAATCTCATCTTTTTTGCTCCTATTCTATCAGGGTTTGGGAACTGTGTAAGGGAGCGTGCTTAGACCATAGATGAGAGAGTCTCTCACTGCTCTGGAAAGATCCTTCTGGGTTTCTCAGGAGTGGCAGTAATAGGGCTTAGTTGAGAGCCAAGACCGTCAGCTGCAACGATACTTTTCACATATTAATGGCTGCATATACATTGTGGTTGCCAGGTAAATCACAGATATGTGCCATCTAGGTTAGAACTTTGTTCCATTAGCTCCAAAGGGTCAAGCTTTTAGCTTTCAGTAGTAAGTAGGGCTTCTGTTTTTTGGTGGTCAGTCACTAAAGTGCAGTAGTACACAGACACTAATCACACTATATTACAACCACATGATTGCTAAGACAGAAAGGTTTTGGAGGCGGGGGAGTAAAAACAACAAAGGCTCTGGGGGAAGAGGGAGGAAAATAAAATAGGGGGAAGGCAGAACCATGGTTTGCTGAAAAACATGAACAAAATTAATGCTAAAGGGAAATGCTCCATTTTTAATTGCATTTTGTTCCTTTCACATTCATTTACTGGAAAACATTTCAATGACTTCCTATTCAATCTGCAAACGTGGATGAAAGCACCAAATCTTTCTCTACTGTGCACAGAGTAGCTGCCCCATGGCCCTTATGCCTTTCTTGGATCCCTGCAACCATCTTGTCAAGATCTTCAGTGCATATGCCCAGGAAAAGTTATGGAGAAGCAGCTGCCATAGATCTGTCATCCCCCCTTTAAAACCACTGAGCCAGAATCCAAAGCCCAGAGCGAGTCTGGACGTGCAGCGACACAGAGGTGGTAGCTTCTGCCAGAGAGCAACCTAAATAGAGTTGCTAACTGCCTATTGCTTCAGTGTGAGCGCCTTTTCTGTTGGGGTGATCCCTTAGCCTTTCTTCAACGAAGAAGTATCCTCAAGGCAGCGGAGGATGCAGTTTAACATCATGCCCAGGACTAGCATCCAAAGTAAAGGAGAAGGATTGGTTTCTGTACTGTCTGAAATCAAACATGAAGACATACTAATGTTTGAGCCACATGTATACCAATATTCTACCATCTTGGAAAGTCAAACATAGAAAGGAATTAGGAAGAAGAAATTGTTACTTCGGAGTGTCTTCATTTGGCTGTTGAATTAAGAAAGGAATTCAGCACACAAACAAAACGAGAATGTGCTGCATGAGAACATGGACACCAAGTTAGACTCTGGCTCACACAGTGGCCAAAATTCTGGAAATAACCAACACCACATCGGCAACAACCAGAAAGCAGGTGCAATAGTGATACTCAACATGAACTTTAGCATTAACTGGGAAACTGATGCATCCATGTGAGCAGTCTGATTCTTGAAAGCAACCTCAGGGTGATCATAAACAGCCAAATATTTGGATGATCATGGATGTGAAAAATGAGAGATATGGCTCAGAGTCCTTACACAGAGTCCAGGGACATTGCAAGAGGAAAAGGCAAGAGAACCATATTTGGACAGAATCACAAGATTTGTGTGGTGTTGTTAAAGTATCAGATACAAACAATTAGGAGTGCAGAATGTGATGCCAGATTTTGAACATCTGGCCCTGCATCTGATAGTTGTTTATATTTTTATTACATAAGTACTGACCCAGAAGTTTGGGATTCCAATTATTGATCATAAATCTGAAGTTCCATAACATGGGACTGCTTATTTTTATTATTAAGGGTGTGACGTTGTGCAGTCTATATGGTTTTATAAAAACTTGATAATAAGCCAATATAATGTAACTGGGATAGTTTTAGAGAAAATATGGTAATAAGTGAATGTAACGTAACTGAGATATGCTTCATGCAAAAGGTCTCTTGTAAGGTATGATTACAAAGCTTATAATCTACTGAGTATGATCGTCTGATTTGTATAAATGTACCACTCTTGTATCTAAAACTAGAAATATAAAATGTAATTCTGA